GACAAGAGACCATTTATGGGAAACCTGTTTACTCTGCTCTTTGCGGATGACTTTTTTCTTCTATGGTTTTGTTGATGAAGAACACTTCCTGAAAACTTTACTTATTTTTTTTGCACTGCATACTGTATTTAGGCCCTAAATATTGTGCTGGTGATCCTGTATTCCTCTTGCATTTTAAAATGGACCTTTACCTCCTTATGCTACTGATGTGAGAATGTATTAGTTAAACAAAAATGTTTTGCCTTTATTTGCAATGACTGCTTTTCCACTTCCTGGTTGAGTGAGGCACTGGTGATGTAGCTCTCTCCTCACAGACCCATCCTGGGAAGGTTACATCACCAATGCCTTTCTGAGAAATCTCATCTGTAAAACACAAAATCTTGCAAGATTCTTTTGGTTAAGGCATTTTTTCCCTTAGATGATGTGCACTGTCACATGTTCCAGGAGGCAGACCCAGAGTTCCAGGGAGTAAAGGGAGATGGGCTCATCTGCTCATAGTGAAAATGGCCACTGTGAGAAGAATGGGGAGAAAACTAATAATAAAGAAGGCAAAGAATAAAAAACTGACAATTATCTATAAGTGTGTTTGTAGCTTGCCATTACTAAACATTTCTTAATGTGTCTCTGTTGTAATGTTTATGATGTTCCTATTTAAAGTGTGCCTGACTTGACCAAACTGTTTTATAAGGTAATAATAGTGTTAAAAGGGAAGTCAACTTGTGATACTTGTAAGTATATAGTGTGGTCTCTATCTCTGTGGAACTCCATTGGATGCTAAGCTCAGGCTGTACATGGGCCCTTGATTTCTGCTTAAGTTGAATTCTCCACTCACCCTTAGAAGTATGAAATAAAAATATGATCCATGAGGTTTAGAGGCCCTTAAGCAATTATTTAGTTGTAACTCCTAGAGCATTCATTATTAGTTTCTAATTCAAATAAACATAGGTAACTGAACCTGCACTTCTCTATATTCAAGCAACTGAACCACTGTACAACATCAGGTTACATTGAGTTGGCCTGCCTTTCCTTCATACAGGTGAAACTCGAATAATTAGAATATCATGCAAAAGTTCATTTATTTCACTAATGCAACTTAAAAGGTGAAACTAATATATGAGATAGACTCATTACATGCAAAGCAAGATAGTTCAAGCCGTGATTTGTCATAATTGTGATGATTATGGCTTACAGCTCATGAAAACCCCAAATCCACAATCTCAGAAAATTAGAATATTACATGCAATCAATAAAACAAGGATTGTACATAGAACAATATCGGACCTCTGAAAAGTATAAGCATGCATATGTACACAGTGTGACAGACCTCGGTACTCAGGATGAGTATGACCGCCGCTGTCTTCTTCCTTGCTCAGGAGATATTGCAACCTGAAGATCTTTAGCTCCCAGTTTCCCCAGTCACTAGTCGAGGCTCGAGTGTAGGTGAAACAAACTCTGGTTTATTGAGAAACTGCACAAACTTTTATACAGCAAGTGATGAGATCAGATTATAATCCCATCACATCCACCCTCCCCTCTCAGACAATCGGTCTGCTCAACACCACAGGGTTTCCCCTGCTAACGAGCTCCAGAAAGCCATAGCAAAGCTTGGCCAGAATGTCATTGTTCTGAGCTCCTTCAGAGAACAATGGGAGATAACGAGGGATGGTGCTGATAGTCTTTCCATAACCAGGTCACAAATCATAACGCACTCAAACATAACTCAACACCAATACACATTTAACTCATAAAACTGATCAGCATGTCGTCACATAGCTCGCCCAAGTTAAAGGATGGCAGACCCGGTGAGACCCTCGACAGGTCCACTTGGGGATGTCCATGATGTTAGTCACCCTTCCAGTTCCATTTGGCGAGATAGTCCATTGGCATTCTGTTTCCCAGGCCGGTATTGGATTGTGAAATTGGACGTCTGTGGGGCCAGGCTCCACCGCAACAGCCGTCCATTGGCCCCGGACACCCGGTTCAAACAAACAAGGGGGGTCTCCATAATACAAGGTCCATAGTTGCTGGGAAGGAGGCTGGCCGCCAACCCTCTCCAGGAGCCCAGAATTGCAGCCAGTATCTTTCCTCAGATGTAGGGAGGACCTTGCCACAATAGTGCTGCTGCAATTGAAGAGTCTCCCTCCAGATCTCCGGCACAAAGCGTCTCCTTCCCAGCATATCCTGGGCAGAACCAGGATTGTCGAGCTGGGCCAGTGCTTCCATGGCCGTAGGCAACTGTGGCTCTTCTCCTATCTCAGCAGAAAATGTTGTCCCGGTGGTGGTTTGAATGTCTCCTTAGGCAAGGAAGAGCATCCCACCGCTTGCCACCAATGTGACGGACCCCCGTACTCAGAATGAGTATGTCCGCCGCTGTCTTCTTCCTTGCTCAGGAGATATTGCAACCTGAAGATCCTTAGCTCCCAGTTTCCCCAGTCACTAGAACTGTGCTTCATTAAGTTCAATAAATTAACTTTTGCACAATATTCTAATTATTCAAGTTTCACCTGTATCTCCAGAAGTCTGTGAAATTTGTACTTCCCAAGCTACCATTAAATCATTTGTTTGAGTACACTTGTTTCTTATGTCACTAGGCCTGCATATGTTCAGGAACACAAGCAGCATGGTCCTGGACGCACACAGAAATCCTTGTGTTGTAAGCAAGCTTTGGCTTTGATGTGGAACATCATATTACTCTGTCAAGCATAACATCCAAAAACAAAGACACCGATAAGAAGCTATTCTTGTGGCTTATTTATTGCTGAGCATTGTGTTATGCCTGAAGATTTTCCAATATTTATGAGTGTCAATATTGATACTGTTTTCAGAAACACATACTCCTATGTACACATAATACATAAAGTTCCACTGTCTGCCAATATATACTGTTTTTCTTCAGAGTTTATTTATATACATAGAATAAAGAGACAGCTGGCTTTTTATAAGGCAGCGGTGTATTAAACCAGGAGTGACTCATCCTACTGCTTTGGCATCAATGGTACCAGTTATAAGAAGTACAGATGTGTAAAGTCCAATCACAGTTTCTATTTTGCAAATAAAGCTTCTATCCCTTGGAGATTAGTGTTAGTCAGGTGCACTACAGAATACAGACATAAAGCAACTTAGGGGTCTATTCACCAAGCTGCCGAGGGCAGCCGAGTGAATGACTGATCTGAAGTGAAGTGAGCCGAACACTGTTCGGCTATTCACTTCAGGCTGGTACGGCTGATTTCAGCCGTACGTCGGCTGAAATCAGCCGTACATCGGCTTGCTTCGAGTGGCTTCGGGTCGGCCGAACATGCCCAGCATGTTCG